GACTAGATTTTGCAACGTATGAGTATATTTTCGTATGATCACGGTAAATTAATCTTAAAATGTCCGGAATTCTTAATATACTCGAAGACATTTTCACTTAATATACAAGAACATTTTAGAAAACTAATACCATACAATAGCAATTGTATAATAAAGAACAATATCTGTATATTTTCTTAGTATATACGTATACTGTGCATCCAAAATTAAATATGGCACAGACATTTAGTACAAAACATCTTAAATTTATAAAGATTTTTAAACATATGTATAAAAATTGGCGCCATTGTTTTCAGTGTTGCAAGTAAGAAGCAGAATAGGTAATTTTTGAGGATGTAAAAACAAATACTACTTCTAAGGAATGTTTTAATAATGAAATAGCCTTATAAAAGTGCTAATTAATAAATTAGAATAAAAAGATTAAAAATTTAAGTCGTCTCATCTTCACGTGTCTTGATAAAAAGTATTTTTTTTTGTAAAAATATTTGAAGTGAGGTATTTCATTTACGTAATACAGGCAATTTAAATTATGTAATAGTTTAGTACAAAAAGTTGTAAAATGGAGATATAAGTTTGTAACATATTTATACTGATATAGGTAGGACTAAGGAGTAGTTTCCTTCGTTTATATCAGATATATGAACTGAGAAAGCTAAGGCGGTACTTACCCATACAGGTTTATCGGTCTTGAGTACTCCCAATTTGGCCTCTCTCTAGAATGTCTCTGGTCGCTATAAATTCGACGATAGCGCCCTCGACCGATTTGACAATGTACTTAAATAATGTTTACATGTGTTTGCGTATACCTATACCACATATTGTAAAGAAGGACTGTACGAGTTCAAGTGTTTATATTAAATACCGCTAAAAAAAATTACAATTGACAAATATAGTGAAGTTCCTTATTTATTAAATGTCCAAAACTATAACACTGCTTGGAAATAAGATGATAGTAATCTTAGGAAACTCGTTTGTACGTTGTTAAAATAAAAGTACAATTATTTTCGTCAAACAGCATAAAACGGACTGAGTAGTAGACATCACGTTCTAGACTTTAGTTTTATTATACCTATACCTTTTTTACTAGCATTTTAACAAGGTTTCGAGGTTTTAAACTTATAACACAAGTATTATCATTATTACTCAGACTATTCAAATGTATCCTGTTTTTTTCATAGAATACAAAGAATTTACTGTAATTACATACTTGTACATTGCAAGTACGACACTGAATTAAATTACATTTCCAATTCAAACAACCGGTATATTATCGTACTTTATTATTCTTGCACTCGTAAATATGATCGATTAATTTCTTTATTGCTTGTAGAAATCCAGGAAAATGATCATAAACCTGTTTGAAAATACTTTGAGAAGTAATTATTTATTAGTTATTATTTATAGTGTATTTATTAGTACATACAAAACTTTGCTCCATATTGTAAACCGAAGTTAACTTTACGACGATTCAGTGTCATTATTTTATTTATAGGCTATGGTGTGAAAACTATCTATCTAAAATAAACAATAAAGTTATTTATAAATTAAATGTATTTTATATGAATAAAGAGAAAGTAGTCAGTTAAAAATGAGTTCTATTGACAACGAACAATTAATATTTCTTACTATACTATTATGACAAAGTTTTATATGGAAAACAGTTACCAAATTATAAAGCTTCATATTTCATTACCTATTGAATTCAACCCACCAGAAAAAGGTTTTGCTTCATATATCTCCCTAATTTTTTTGTAGCTTGTATAATATACATATATTTATAGAATCTTATTTATTATCATTATTATTAAAAATAATTTAATATAATATATTTCGTAGCAATATAATATATGTATATAGTATTTTCGAGAATACATTGTAAGGTGTATATGAAATAAAATTAACATTAAGAACAAGTTTAGAGAGTAATATGTTGTTTACTAAGAGAATTTCAAATAAATAATTATAATCCTATAGGTATTTCAATAATGTTTAATCGAATTAGGTGTTATTTCGCGGAAATCCATTTCGCTACTCGGTGGATTTATATTATTTTGTTTTTTTTTGTTTTGTTAACAAAATTTCTATAATAGTTAATTTTGTGAACTTGGTTATAATTTGGATAGTTATAGATTATATGTACGATACGATATGATATTGTAAATCAGTTGCATTTGATATAAATGTTTATAGCACTTGTATAAACATACTGTAAACAGTATTTTGCTCATGTTTGTCATTTACTCCCCCACTCCTTTTTAAACTGAGAAATGAGATTTTGCCTACTCATGTGCTCAAATTATTGATTACTGACAAGATTCGAATTTTATTAAACGAAATATATATTTAGACGTGCAATTAACCTTAATTTTGTTATATTGCCACTTAAGCCCTTATTCAATGAATATTATAAATACGTGTAGTCGAAATTTGACTATTCAACTAATACAATGGTCGGGAATTATTAGTAATGGCACAGATAAGATAATATTACATAGTAGGGAACAGTGTCCCCATTGCTAAAAGTGTTTACGTCAGGTCGACGGCGTAGGTCCCTGGAAACCATCGTTTGTTTCTGTTGACTAGATCACGATGGACTAACCGATCTGACTTCATGCTCATCCTATGGTCCTTCGATAGTATCGGTCAGATTATACCGTTATTGCAAGTATAATATAATATTATCTACATTATTACAAACATAATGTAAGGCAACATTCAAAAGGAAACTTTATAATTATATGTTGAAGAAACAAGAAGAGTGTTAACTGCTTTCTGTTGTCATATACAATATATATCAGTAATTTCTTTGTATATATATATATATATATATATATATATATATATATATATATATATGCATATATACGGTTTGAGATTTATATGATAATAATTAGTTAGGTATTCAATACATTTCGGTTTTGGAATGAGAACGAAGAAGAGTTAAGAAATAGTTATCTAATGTATCTAATCTGCCAAAGTTCTCTACATATAGACACTATAAACCCTTTGTGCCAAGTGTGATTTGTTTAGACTTAAGAGTAGGAGGTTGATATTAAGGTGCTAGTAATATATGTATATATTTTAACATTTCGACAGTATTAAATATAAAAATAGCACTAGATAAAACTTTAAAATAGTGCCTAGTTTAAAATAAATACTAAGTCAAAATAATTATATTATAACAAGTAAACTTTTAATTCATTCATAACTAAACCTCCTGGTCTACGACATACCTACTCAAATCAAAATAGTAATAATTTTTTAAAAAATATTGACGATATACTGTATCTTCACCATAACTATGCTACATACCACGATCCTGTCGTGGTATGTAGCATAGTTATGATGAAGATATCATGTAACAGATTCGCTCCTTCTTAAAGAATAATTATAAAAATTTAGTCCAAATATCGATTCCGATTGTATATCCGATGTATTGAAACACGAGGTGCGAAACCTTATTAATTTAGAACATGTTTTCAGAATGTTCATCTTTTTTTAATACATGCAACCAAAGTTGATGAATTAAATGAAAAAATATTTCCATAACAGTCGATTGAAAATACATACCAATAGAGATTTGTATTCTGTTTTGAAAAACTAGATTAAATAGAAAATATTCACAAAGTAATAACAAATATTTAATTATTAATCATGCCATCATATGTTATCTATTAGAAGTTAGAAAGAAGTTAACTATACAAATTACAACGATGTTACCAATAAGCCACGAGTACGATTCGTTTTACGATGACAAGTCGTGACTTAAGTATTTTCGTTATTTATATTCTTAGTATAAAGAGTCCACCATTGTATAACAAGTTAAATGGTTTAATTGTACTTACACATTTAGTAGTAAAATCACATACTCATAGTACGTCTGAATTTTATTAAGCATGCGTGGCATTTATGTCATATATCTCTAATATATAGTGTAGTAATAATAATGTGTTCATTCTATAGGTACCAATATAAAGTATATTATAATATACGAACACGTAATATCAGCCTTAAGTCGTGGATCAAACTAGTTTAGTTTTGAATTCGTTACATTGGTTTAGGTATAGTATTGATAGTAAAGTTAGGCACACAAAAAGTTCATATACTTTTTGTATAGCGATGTTACGAGTATGGGTTCTTTCACAATAGTTTTTGTTAACAAAATGCATATTTCAATATGAAATTAAATCAATGTTTAGTGTTTTTCGATCAGTAACAGTTTACATGAAAATGAAATTTGATATACATTTTTTTATGTTTATGTTATACCTGGTTGTAAATGGTAACCGTACCGTATGTATATACATGAATACTACAGACATCTTGTCACTATCTGACGACATCTGATATACTACTCATGCGTTGACATTCCAGCAGACTAACATGTTATGATTATAATCCTGTAATTTCAACTGCCAAATGGGACACTACAATTGAAACACAACTTACAAAGCAAGCTGTTTGGCGGCTAAAATAGATGAGGCTAAGGTACCCACGCTGACGGCTTTTTACAGTATTAATTTTTTTTTAACTGGCCAAGATTTTAAACTTAACTATAAATTATATTTATATATTTCTTTCAATATTGTTTATTTTTCTGGAATGGTAGTAGACGCAGAATTAAATCGTGAAAAAAAAAAAATCGTGTTTCTTTGCAAAGTATCCCTTACATGCTTGATATTTTTCATAATGTCGTATTTTTTTTTAAAGTTTAGAGAAATTTTGTATATAATTAATATAATTAACCGTATGAAATTCTTTTTCCATTAGGAAAATTATATTTAAAGTAATATTACTTTTCTTTTAGTCCACTATAACAGGAACGAAACTGCCTTATTTATTATAGGATAAAATGGATATTAAATAATATATATTTGTAGCCGTATATATATATTAGTAACAGTATTAATGATAAAATATACTCAAGTATTGTGTTATTATTTTCGAGTTTTGTGAGACCTCTAAATTATAGATAGCATTGTAATGTAATGGTAACTTACTTTTCAAGACGGTCACCGAGCTTATCAGAGTGATGGTTCTCTTTGGGTCGAGTAAGATCTGAATCGTAGAGGTCCCGTTTGAACCCTCGCCAGAACGTCGGCATCATCCAGATGAACCATAGTCGCGACAGGAAATTCGCACGTAGGTAATTGTTGCTTTTCTTCTCACGATTTTTTGGTGGTATTTTATTCGGTTTGCTAGGATCTTTGTTTCCACTGACCATTTTAAATGTTAAAATTTAAAAAATTAAAAAAAAAACAAATATAATCAGGAATTAGTCCTAGAGCTCGTTGAAATTACACTTCAAATCAAAGAGACGTTAAAATCAACATTTTTGTTGGACAATTCGTACTCGCGATACTAGTGCAGCACAGCAGCCGGCGAGTGCGCACGCGCAAAGCGCCTAAAAGCAAATAATATACGTAGTGAGCGCTGACCTTCCCTCCTATTGACTGACTGCCTAGTCGCTTGCTCGGTTTTTTTATAAGATTGATTTAAACTGGCGTCTGGTTTTGGTCTCCAGTCTGATAACGGCTTCAAAGATCCTGTTGTCCTGGAATACGACATCACGTTGTAGTTTGTAAACTTTTTCAGATTTTAGTATCTACTTATTTTAATATGGAAATAAATATTAAATTTAAACAATGAACTGAATTATAAATACATTAGATATGGAAATGGTGGCAACTTAGAAGTCATATATACTGATATTGTTGTATATTAAGGCGTAAGATTTAACCTAGTACAAACACTTAAAAGTTGATTGAGCTATTTTAAACATTCATCCAGAATCAAAATCTATATTAACAGCGATTAATATAGACTAGATTCATCTTAATTGCTATTGGATACAAGTAATTACGTATATTTCAATCGAGAATGGTTTACTAGTCCAACTAACAGTCCTGAAACTGTTTAGACAAGTTACTGAAGAGTTACGCTATTGCTATACGATAAATATGTACATACCTATTTATTTTAGATGCAAGTACATATATAAAATAGATACCTAAGAATATGAGTGTATTGAAGATAGAGGTAGAGTTTGTAAAAAGACGTCGTACCGAAAATGCGTGGGTCTCACCTATTACAGATGCTAAAACAGTTTACTTTGTAAGCTGTGTTTCAGTTATCATAAAAGAGTATACATAAGGTAGTAAAATTACCAGATATGGTGGCAGTTCTGGATTATTACTGCGGGTAGTAAATTCATTTAATGTTTTACTTTCGGAATTAAGTTTCTAATTTACAGTTTTTAAAGAACAAGTACAACACTACAAAGAACAAGAACAAAACTACAAATCTCTTCGATGGTTTAGACTTGTACAAACAAAAAAAAATATGGGTGAAAACAGAAGTGAAAAGAAGCGCAAATAAAAAGTAATATTTACTATCAATTGCCTCGTTAATGAAGAATAGATTATCAATGAGAAATAGTGTTAAACAAGAAATTATTGCAATTTTTTTAACTATTTTCGCCGTGGAACTCTCCAAAATTACCCCAATGTAATTTTTTTTAACAAGAAAAATAACAAACTAAAACTTTTCAAGAAAATTGACAGATATAAGAAAATGAAAAATTATAAACTGATGATGTTTATGATGATTGATGGTATTTATTCTTATCTCGATAATTACCCTAACATTCATCTGTATTTTGTCAATTTTTCTAACTTAACTGATCTTATGTTATAATTTTTGTAACTGAATAACTAAAGTTTCATAGTTAATGATGTCAGATTGATTATTTCTCATAGTAGATAGTTTTATACGTTATTTAATTTCAGGATTATATTCTTCCTTCGTCTACTACCACACGGAAATTATAAATTTATTTTATCACTCGGTAAAAGTAAAATATATTTTTCTATGAAGTCTAACATCGATACATCATCTTTATTACGGAGCATTTTATATTATTAATGTTATTCTGGTCAGAATATTACTTACATGTTTTATACAAGCAGTAATAAAATAAAATTAGACAGTGACATTCAGTTATTGCCGATTTTGTACAGTAAAAAGTACCTACTTGCTTTAAGTTTATGTATTTACACAAAAATACATAATGTATTTACTGAAGTATCTAATGATATCACATTATTCTTATAGTAGGTATGACATGCAAGTTGTATGTAATTTTTTCGAACATTCCTTGTATTCAAGAGAAGAGGAAGATTATAATATACACATTGTGTTTTCTTTTCTTACTTTTATTTAGTCATTTACTGTATATATATTTATAATAGGTACAATTTAAATTTACAAAACGGTCTAGTTTACACATATTTTTGTTAAAATGAGCATATCTGGAGATTTGTTGCATACTCGAATATAATTCGTATTGGCTAATGGCAAAAAAATACAATATATGCAGTTGGTATAGCCTATAAATATTTTACTATTATATTTATTTATAAGTTCCTAGCTACTCATCCCGGTTTTACACGGGTGTACATGTATTATGTATATAAACCTTCTAGAATACCTATTTATTAAAATAACTGCTTCAAAATCCGTTGCTTAGTTTTAAAGATTTAAGCATACATAGGGACAGACAGCGAAACGACTTTTATATTGTGTAATGATTATCAATACTATTATAATTATATTTCAGTGTTATGTAAAGATTAACTCTAATTGTTTGATTTAGTAGAAAAGAAGACTGGTATAGTAACAAAAAACCAAAAAGACTTTGTAACAGAAAATCATGGAAATGAAAGGATTTTAGATAAATCGTTGTTACTGAGAGTCAAAAGTGAGTTCAAGATTGACATTCAATCCTTGTGATTTTGGCTGTATATTGAATATTAGACACACAGTTCAGCTTCCATTAAATAAAATACAAATCTTGTTGGCCTCGGTATTGCAAATATAAACTACAAATTATGTTTTAGGTGTTTATTACTTATAAGAAAAATTGCAACGGAATATATAATATTTGATATTATATATATAATACGTCACACTCGGATTGGTTTTTGAGCAATCTGACACTCTGTACATGTAAATATTTTAATTGCAGCCTTATATTACGAAAATATATGAATGTATCACACTATTCATGATGTAATAGGTGTGTAAGGACGTATTCCGACTTGTGATCTCCACATTGAATTGTTATTGTGTGTGCAGTGGGGTCACCAGTGTGGTTCGTCACAATGCGTTCGGCACAATGCCAATACTCTATTGACAGGTTGCGTGATGGCCGATCGTTTTGTCATATATCTGCCCCTTCCCTTGACGTATCTAGTAACATCTAGAGTGGACACACTCGTAATTGTAGATATTTGGTCCATGATTGCTTCTTTTGAGACGCAGTAAGGTCATATATTATAAGGTTATGAAAAATGTTTATAGATATTATCTTAGTATATCACATATTATCTTAGTATATATTAAAAGAACGCAGAAGGTGGAAATTGTTTTCTGTAATTTAGATCTTTAAAGTATAATTTAGAACTGGTCTTCGAAATATTGGATAGTCGATCCGCAATGGAGGTTCCGCAATGATAGATTTTATTTTTCGAAATTTTCATTGCATATAATAAAAAAACTTTGATCCACTTTAACTTATTAGTGAAATAATTAATTGTTTTTATTAATATATTCTTTTACGTAATAGGAAACACGCTGACGTACTATCTGATGGAAACTGTGGGACGATCGAAACGATATTCTCCGTTTTCGGGCACGATTTCGGAATGAACGTTTTTCATGGTACGAATCACACGAAATATCGATCCGAAATTTCGGAATTGCACTTCGTGGTAGACCTACTGGTATCTAACCGTCATCGTAATTCATAAACTGCAGACGTCACAAAATACATTGTGATATATTATGCGTTACAATTCCTGAGATCTAAAATGTTATGTTTCCGTATCGTGTAATATCACTGTCATACCTCTTATTAATGATGGCAGAATTAAATTATATTACTATAGAGGTACTTACTTAGACGACTTTGTACAATGTGCCTCACGTCATTAACATACTTGAAAAAAGTCTTTGGAATCTTTCTGCAAAACATTTGCAATTTATTTTGATTGTACAAGTGTTCGCATTACTCCTAGCTATTCGCGGGTAAATTATTGGCACTATTACGAAGCTAGAATGACATAAACAATATGTAAATAATTTTCTATCTTGTTGCATTCAAGTTATTAGTTTAACTGATGAAAGTACGTATGGAGTATTCACTAATATAACTGCGACAAAGTACTTACCTATGTGTATTTACGTCTGCAATAAATAGCATATACTTAGGTAGTACTTTGTCGCAGCGTACAGATGTATTAGCATATTGGAAAAAATTAAAGGTAGTGTTATATAATTACATTACCTACGAGTATCCATTGGAGTATTAATTGGTAACGGATTTCGAGTGGTTTAATTTTTCTCTACACTGTCAACTTTATTTGTCACTTAAGAATACTGTAATTGATAGTTTTATTTTATTATTTCTGTATACAATTGTAAAGTATGGGTGATTTTATAAAATAAACGTTAGTTTTATCTTTTTTGTATTAATAAATTTTTACTTTATTTATTACCTACCTACCGTTAATTATTTTATTTTAAATTATTTTAGGCAATAGATTATATAAATGTATGCCAATCAATTAAAATTATATTACTTTAATTTAGTTTGCATGCTGTTTCGGCTTTAACGCGAACACCTCTTATGTATTGAATAAAACTGAATAATTATATTATAATATACATTATGTCTAAATGGCTGTATAAAAGATTTTATTAGTCTAGGTCTCGTCCTGGGAAATGTGTATAAAAAAATGGAGTATGTAGGTATTTATAGTTACTAACAAAAAAAACACGTAGGTAGGTATATAATTTAATGTTTTATTATAAAATAATTTACAATGTCAAAACATGACTAGTATTTGACCAAACGGAAGCAAAAATATGGATAAAAGAAGATAAATTATGCAAAAAATAATAATAACAGTTAAATCTATCTATCATAAGTAAATAATCATATGCAACTATTAAGATACAATGCAGATTCACAGTTCATTCACGACTATAATTGTAGATTTTAGAGGCTTGTTAAAACACGATCTGCAACAGGTCACGGTCACATGTGAGTTACTCTATGACCATCACAGATAAGAGAATATTACAAAGTGACCATCGTTTTGTACATAGATTATTGTAAAGTTATGAGGAAGTTAAATACTGGATATGATGAGTTAGTAGCCTTTTCACCTTTGCAATTACTAATATGTTTATTTCCATTTTTTTTTCTCTTGTGTAGGTAGTATTTCAGTATTAATACAATTTTGTTAAAGTTAATGTTAGTAAATAAGTTTACCACTGATAAACTTTGTGTAAAATCGTCTGCGTGAGTACCTCGTCTCACCTACTCCAGTCACCAAGTACCTAGTTTGCGTTGTAAGCTGTGTTTTAGTTAGGAACTGAGAAGTAGCTGTGAACTTACCGGTTGTGGAGGCACAACGTCTTAGTAATTTTTTAAATTACGCATTAAGCTGATTAACTATAATTATAGTAATAATATGTATTACTATGATTATAGTTAATCAGCTTTTACACGAATGGCAAGTTATGAGGGTGGCACTGCTATAATACTTTATTAATACATAATTTACATTTTTAATTAATTCACTAGTAGTTTTACACTAGACTTGCAATTCTGCGTCGTAAAAAATAAAAATAAACCTAATATAAGCACTTTTTATTTTACCACTCATTTAGAATGCATTGTCTGTTGATTATTATATAGTTACTAGCTCTAATACGCGACTAAACACTTTCAGGCATTTAGTCTTGATAACGCAATTAAAAGACGGACAAATACACAAATTTTTGTATCATTTCCACTAATTATATAAGTCACAATGATAGAAAAATTGTGAATATGATTTGTGTGAGAAATTAAGTCAAAGTCTGTTATCTTTATATATTTATATATTGCACTATGTTATAATTTGCGTACATTTATAAGTACCTTAATACTACTTTAGTCATTTATAATGGTCGAACAAATTTTCATAAAATTTATTCATAGAAGATGTACACAGACGTCTCTGCGTAAATTCAAATTGTTTATTAATTTTGTACTTTAATTTGGTTCATGAATTAAAGGTAGAATTTATAAAGGTACTATTTACACCTAATATCAACAAATTTTCTCTTCTTTATGTAATGATAAGTACAAGACTGTCGACGTCTATCCGATTCGATTTCTTTTAATAAATAAAAGAAATCGTGTTTTCGTTATACTCGTGAACACAAATTAAGCAGATTTGAAATTTTTCGTTTCAGACATAAACAAATAGTTTTAGAGAGCATGTATATATTTATATAAATAATATTATAACTTATTATTGTATTATACAACATAATGTTATTTGTAATATTAACGAAACAAACTATAAATAGATGACATAATCGTGCGAAAATTTTCTGGTAAATAACTTACCAGAGGTTTCTTTTAATTTTTTATAGCAATAACGCCTTGTTCTTTATATGTTCTTCTTTATGAAAATGAACAATCAACCTATTTACGTTTATCATCTTATTCTACAATGGCCATATGATGAGTAATGGCCAGTTTTATAGAAGATTTTTAAAATATTTTTTATTATCATCTTTAACTGTCACGTTCTGAAAGGAAACAATATATATAGAAAATCTTAAAAATAAAAATATATTTATTTGTAATAAAATCACAAGTAATTTGCTATGATAATGTATGGAACTAAAATTGAAGGAAATAAGGTGAAGACGGGCGACTAAGTTACGAAAATTGTAAAACTACTATTATGAATCCGGTACGTCACTTACGAAATTCCTAAATAGAGCTTCAAACGCTTATACTTCATAAATTTTATGATGATAATTTAACAAGCAAAATTATATATACCGTAATTGATGTCTTTAATAATAAATATTAAAGACATCAATTACGGTGTGTAGTAAATTAAATTAATATTCTATAAGGTGTTATATATACACTTGTAATTAGTAGTGATAAAATAGTTGGATGTCATTCTAAAGAATATGATTAATACTGTAGGTATTAATACAGGTAAATAGGTCACCTCACACGTATACTATATCTGATGTTAAAAAACTTTTCTTGCGTGCTGTAGTTCGAAGTGATACATGAGTGTATACTGAATAATTAGAATCAGCACAGTAAAATTATAATATATCGCACGCCTAGTGCAATACTGGATAACTTCAAACCCTACGTACTTTAAAGTGAAATTAAAAAAAAATATATATCCTTGAGTTAATCCAGTATTGTATATTTGATGTCTATGAATCCAATATATGTGATATTTGATGTTCATGGCTATTATGGTATCCATGTGAATCAAATGTGCAATGTTTATCCTACTATTGAAATGGGTCGGAAGGTGCATACAATTCTAAAACATCTAATCGATAAAAAAGTAGTATCTATTTGGCTCAATATATACTTACAAGATCACTCCCTATATAAAGTAATTTATACTTTTATATAGTAATCATTAATAACTTTACTGGTCAATTATATTCAATTTATCTATGGAAGTATCTACGCATTTATAGTAATCATTAAAAGGATTGCGCCTATTAATACGAAGTATAATTTTTCAAAGAATAAAGGAAAAAACCCCAAGGAAATTATTAGATATCCTCTATATATCACAGACTTCACGGAGGTGATACAATTAGAATTATTACTGCGAAATGAGATTCCAAGTACTTATCTACATTAATATATTATTGCATAATAAACGTAACTCAGTTACAGAATAATATAAACGAAACTGCATCGAACGAAGATGGCTATAGAAATGTATCACTGATTAAAAGAAAAATATCGATGGCTACATTAATACTTTGGAATATTTCTAAAGCTCTAGAAAAGAATCCTGTCGTTGAGATAAAGGTATTTACTTCATATCAATTTGCATTTTAATTAGTTCTCACAGTTGTATATAGGTGGTAAATTAATGAAATATTAAATTGATTGAGACGAAAATATATCTATATTCGTATTGAATGCACACCTCTGTAGTTTTGGCTTTAGTTTATGAATGTATGCTATTGATTTTAAAGTTATTTATGGTTTATTATTCAACTAGTCTGCAATGAAAGCAGTGCAAGCGCGATTGGAAAACAATTCTCGTAACCTAAATACGATAGGGTCCCAGTATCCTGAGGAGAGATACTTGGCGTGTGCCCTTCTTGCGTGGCAAGAACTTGGACACAAAGATACCGATAGTCTGTACAGGTATAAATATTATTTTGCTATAATTTTGTACATCTGATTGTAGTTAAAATAAATCGATATTTTTTTTATATGATAATTGGATGGTAAATAAGATGGGCCATCAGTTGCAAAGTGATTACAGCAGTATGATAAACACTAATACTTTTGGCACCTCTTAAACGGCAATATCTCTTATATACTAATATTTTGATACTAAGATATTGTGTCTCACATTATAGTATTGTTATTCTGTTTAAGTTAATTATTTAATTAGATTATTATCTTAACTAATACTGTAAATAACAAAAGCAGTAACTTTAACGGGTTAATGAATGATTATGGGAATATAGAATAACAAAATATAGACAAGACATTATACAATTTAAGGTTCATAGAAGCAAATCGTAGTAAATGTGAATCAATACCATCAAATATTCAAAATAAATATAAACATTGTTCTACAAAAGTGGCCAATACTGCAAAGACTAGCATTACCACCAAAGTATCGAATTATTCCGAAGGTGTTACTTCAGGGAATTTTGACACTTGCTCACTAATCGGCCCTGTAATAAAGTTACCAGTTGAGACTAAAATAGTGATGCGATTGGAAAATACGCCGAATGTACTACGTCAGGAAAAGAAAAAAAGAAGACAAGACAAAGACACCATGAAAAAAATTGACGCGGTTAGTTTTTGTTACAGTACTCAATTAACATCAATAAAAAGCAAATGCAAAATGTTATTGCTATGTTGAACAACTGTGTGACTAAACTTATTATAAATACAACATTGACGTGACCACGTTCTTTGCATTTCTTTTTGAAGGTCAGAATTTAAGGGGGTCTTCCTATGTGATGGGTTGAAAAAATCGATTTTTTTTTTTCATAAATTGCTCCCTTAACATGTCTAGAATACGGTAGTAAAGCGATTTTAAAAAATTCGAAGTCGTTTTAAAGATACAGCAGGTAAAAGAAAGAGCGGTTCGGAGCGGTGAGTTGGCAGTTAGAGACCGGGCCTATTGTGTACCGTCGGCTTTATACCTGGCCTCCCTTTTATTAATATATTTGTTTATACAAGTTTAGACACGTTTCTACAGACTTAAACAGAAATTTCTATTGTTATAATATTTTACCGAAGTTATTTTAGTCTATCCAAGAAAGTTATCCAAGAAATTACAAAATTCTACGGATTAGCAATTCGACGCCATCCAGATTCGCTTGAAGATATGAGAAAGGAAGTTTGGGCAACGTACTATCACAAATGTTCTTCTGATGAAAACCCTCAGCATCAATTTTGTCCAGAAGGCGAAGACAGTTGGTGTAAATGGCGTAAGGCTGAAGCTAATAATGAACTGGACCAATTTCATCACGATAAACCACCTCTAATTCCGCAAGTCCAAGAAGCTATCAAACCGGTTTTCGAAGATTTATCGAAAGACGAATTATTAATTCGTTGTTTAGGAGCAGAGACACAAAACAATAACGAATCTTTGAATTCTTTGATTTGGACTTTCGCTCCTAAACATCTTCATTCTGGTCCCAAAGTTGTTGAAATTGCTAGCTACTTAGCAGTTATTATCTTTAATGAAGGTTTTCAAGGTATTTTAAAAGTTATGTCGATTATGGGATGCCCTGTTGGTCGTGAAGCCCAAGCGTATGTTGAGAAACGGGATGAAAAGCGAATCTTACGCTCTGAGCGGCGCGTAAATGATGTCGTTAAACAAGCCAGGATTGACTCAAGAGCTGAACAATCTGCTTTAAAAGAGTTTCACGAGGAAGAGGAAGGAATACTCTATGGACCAGGCATCGCCGATTGAGAGTAAGTTGATATTTTAATAGTTTTTAACGGACTTGAAACTTTAAACGCGTTTTTCTCAAAACTGTGTTTTTCAAACTTTCCTCCATTGTATCTCAGAAACGGCTGGACCGAATTACTTGAAATTTACAGGGCACACTCAATATATGTAAACGCATGGAATGAACTATTATCAATCGAAAATTTTCAAAACTTCGATTTTTTTATAGCAAAAAACAAAAAAAAAAAACGCCTAATTTGCAACTTTTATTTCAAATGTCTATCAATTTTATATTCATTTGATTATAGGTCATTCCGTGCTTTTAAGCCTACAAATTAAAACGCCGTTTTTTTTTTTTTTTTCAGATAAGCCGATCAGCCGGAATCGTGGAGGAAGTGGGAGCTCTTTTTTTCGAGGCGGGGGTGTTCAGAGCGCTGTAACTCTAGTTTGACTGAATATTTTTAGCTGAAATTTTATATTTATACTGTCCAAATATGTGTTAATAAATGATAAAAAACTTGAAGCTCTAAATATTTACTGGTCGTAGAAAAAAAATCCTAAAATATCCCTAAAAAACAGGCCGTCACATAGGAAGACCCCCTTAAGGCTAGATTTAAATGAATACTTACATATTACATAGTTAAGCTTCTATTCTTTAGTTACAATAAAAATGTATTTATATTTCTAAACTTCTTTGATGCTGTTGGTACTAACATGAAATACAACAAGTATTTATCTTAATGGCGGGACTCTTAAAGATAAACTTACGAAAGTTTACATCTGTTTATTCTATCTACTTGCCGCTACTAACGTAGTGTACTATTTCGCCATTTTGCATCCACCGTTTCTTTGTTCTGGTTCATTATTGTATTTCATATTGTGAAATAAATAATCTTTTAATACTATTTTTTTTAATAATTTAGGCGTGCTGCATGGATTCAGCATGCGTGGAACGGCTTTCGGAATTGGATGCGGCAACAAGCGAATTGAGAATGCGCGCTGGCCAACTGGCGAGCAGGGAAGCCAAGCGCGTTGAGTTGCTAGAACGCGCTGAGACAGCTTGGAAGGATTTGGAACTGGGCTATCAGCGACGCCTAATACTTGCAGAAGAGAAGGAAGAGGATATGGCGAAGCAGGTTGACAGTTTGATGATTTTTTTATTTAATTGGAATGACGCAAAATGGAAAGTGGGAACTGTAGTGTATATATGGACAACACTACGGACGTCAGATCACGTAGTCATGTGTAATGCCCGAGATGCCCTTTATAACCTACCCTTTACAGATTGTCACTATAGTATTAAGTTCTTACTAATACATAATAATAAATAATATTTTTATTTGATAAGTCAGATAGCAATACGGAGTCATTTGTTAATTACATTGTTTTCAAATAATTAGCACAAAGAAATATCGATATAGACATAGAGATCTATAGTGATTTATATTATGTGCCGTGTTAGTGGTCTCTAAACCTATAGTATTTGTCAAAATATATTCTTTAAAAGTTAATTATAACTATAAGACTTATCAATTAAAATGTAATAATGGCCGGTATTATATTTATCTATGTATAATGTTTATCAGATACATAAATTAATAGAGGAGCGAAATAGTTACAAGCATGTTTGCACAACATTGTCGAGTCATCTAAAAGAAAGGGGTGAGGCCGCGGAAAAAGATCGTATGCGATTGATTCAAATTGAGAAGGACGTGTGTGATCGGGCATGTCAGCGTCTACGGTTGACTGAAGAATCAGCACGAGGAGATGCTATAGTTGCTGAACATCAGTGTAAAGCTGCTCAGCTGGACAGAAATCTTCAGGTATGAGTTTTTCAAAATGCAATAACTATAAACAGTACAGATTATGGAAGACACCTATTTTATTTAGGTATTATAACCGTAAAAGTGAGTTTGTTACCTTTTCTAAAACTTAACAGCTGAGTCCATCATCATGTGTAATGTATAATTTACAGTATTTGGGCACAAGAAGGACAAAACAGGTTAGTTGTCAGACTATTGCGGTATTAGGTATGTTGTATTGTGTTATTATATATTATTATTTTATATTTTCATTTATGTGGCTTATTTAAACTTTATATATATTATTAGTCTGTGTGTATGTCTGTATACGTAAGTATATGCATGTGTTTACATGTATCTTATGTTTAGTATGACGTATTATTTTTCTTAATGATTATATTTACGGCGCCTACAATTATTCTCTGCTCTACCTGTGGTTGACTCGTAGAAAATAAGGCGTTAAGTCCACCATATGTAGCTTGGTATTTTATGCATTGGGGTAATTAAATCAATAGGGATTGATTACTGATAATTAAATTTTAAGCTACTATAGATAGGAAGAGAATTTTTCGCTATACTTAGATAACATCATATTACATATAACTAATTAATATATATAAATAATTAATACGATATTTTTTCTTTTAATTACTCTCTCCCTTAATTGTCCTTTACCAATTTGGTCATTGATAATAATATCAAAGAAAATGTAATTTCATTATAGTTCAAGGAACAGCAGGCACGAAGAAAGCTTTCGAATGTAGAGAACGAGGTGGAATCTGCGCGCGCACTCACATACGAGGCGGAGCGAGCGATGCGTTCGGAGCTTGCAGCGCTGCGCGATCAGATTGAACAAGTGTCACATCAGTTGCTCAAGGAGGACGCTGAAAACAGTCAAACCAAACAAGAAGTACTGTGTTAAAAATTATTTACTATATGTTTTTTTTAAATCTAAAGTGGCTAATGGCAAAACGATCCCTTATTTTATTTAACAAAGCACTAATCTATAATAGTTAATCTAAAAAAAATCACAATTCTTAAGAAACATTGTAGATTATTTAAACATTACGAATCTTGGAAGCCGAGCAAAAAACAAAAGTCAAAGGAAATGCTAAATGAACAGGAGTAGTAGTAGGTAGTAGTTAATTTAATCAAATAATTGTTGGCCTCGGTGCTCTAGCGGTTTTAGCTAACCGCCTTATCTCCGATGGTCGTGGGTTTGATTTATCATGAATATGATTGTCTTAATCTATGTGTTTTCTATGTATATTACGTATTTAATAATAAAAATTAAGTATCTATCCATTGTCAAAATCTATGTGTTTTCTATTTATATTGCGTATTTAATAATAATAATTAAGTATCTATCCTTCTTCTATCACAAGGTCCGCTTAGTTTAGAACTCAACCTTATAGTCCGAGATCCCGCTGCAGAATCAGTGTACTCATCCAGTGTTTGCTGAAAACCAAATTTTTACACATATTTATCATTAGGAGAATTTATATCTACCAGGTTGCCTATCAAAATGTGGCCGCTAGTATTTTTAATTAAATTATTAATAATTCATAATCCGTAAGAAATTTCATTGACTTGTTTTTTCAGTAAAATGTCGTTCACTTTACGGCAACATCTATAAAGACTGTGAAAAATCACTACACTGATTCTGCAGCGGGATCTCGTACTATTACTGTATAAAGTGATTTTCGGTCTGTAAAAAAAAATTTCATTGCATACTCAGATTGCTCTAAATCTATAGAAATTCCTATTTAAAAACGTCTTATAGAAAAAAATTAAAGTCTGACGATAGAATTAGCTACAAATAAATATGTAACGCCTTAACTATATTAATAAGTATTTGTTTCATTTGTAAATATTAACACTACAAAGATTTGTAGGCGCTTTTTTAATTATTTAAACAATGTTTAATGTAATTATATAACCCTAATCTATTTTGTATTAGCAAATATATAATAATAATACGTTATAGTGGATTTATCACTGATAATTGTACTATATTGATATTCACTATCGATTCACAAAAGTCAGGTCAGTTCATTTGTAGAGGTGTATGTTGATTTATGTAAAGTATTGATTTCAAGTTTTGAAAAATCAATCAAATTTTGGACAATCAATCTCGAGTTTAATTATTTTCCATACAAATAGACCATCTATTTGTATGTAGCTATGATTATTAAAATCTAATATTTATATGATAAAATCACACATCTAGTTTCATCTACGCCTGAGAAGGCGAACTCGTACAGTGAGACTCATTAAGAATTCCAAGATACCCATCGAGACGCCCCTGCTGCCACAGCGCGGGGATTAGTATTCTTACGCGATATGATTATTAAAACATAAAAGAAAACAGACATGCCAGACAAGTAATATTGAGTGCTGTTTATGTTTCCCATAGCAATTCTACTGTAAAAACTTTTCTCTACAGCTTGAAGTATTAAGACAAGAAAAGTTAGAAATGGTGGAGGATCTCGAAGGTTGTAAAGTAATGTGTGACAGCCACATGCAGGATAAGGTGACAGAGTTAAAGAAGAAGAGAGAACAACTTTCGCAGCTCAGAGATAAAGTGACGGAGTGTCAATGTAAAATGCCTATAGATGCCACTGTTGAAGCGAAGCGTACACCATCCCTCGCAGCTTCGTGCAAGTGCACTCCAGAGGATAAATTACTAGTAGGTTATTAATTTTGACAAAAGTAGTCTTTGTATAAAGCTACCTTTGCCTTGCATTGAACAAGTTATATTGTAATGGCGTTTCGGTCTGTAAAGCTAAAAGTTGCTACCGCCCGCAGAACTGAAAAATTAATTTGGATTTGGAGCTTCTATTTCTAAATATATTATTATGTTGTTTGAACAAAGGTCTCCTTATTGTAATCATAAAGATACTTATACATAGATTTCTAACAATTGTGCTAATATTGTGTAACTGTTGCTTTTAGGAGTCGTGTTCGTGTACATCACTGCGGAGTCGATTGCTATCTAATCTATTAGCAGATTTGTTTGGTGGTCTGCAAGCTGAGTTGGGAGGATCTGGTTCACAGATGCCATGTCATCTATTAAAATGTCTAGAGGATAAACACAACTGGGATAGATCAAGTGCCGTGAAAACGAATTTAAGGAACTACTTTACCCAATTGTTAATTGGAGAACTAGATATTGCTATTGCAACGTCGATAGAGAATTATCACGCTAAGGTAGATATCCTAATAATTATCTATACTGGTGAGTCAGCATTGCGAATTGAAAATTGAGATATCAATAAAAATAAACGTAAATCATAAATTACTCACAACTATTATACATTGGTACAATTACGGTGGATACTTTTTCGTAATATAGCAAACAATAATAAATATGTAATAATACTTAATAACTTAAGTAACAGTAGAAATACTATTACTTAAGTATATGTATTAACTACATATATTGTTTGTATATTTCATGTTTAATTATAATATTATGTTTAATTTGTCTCTTCTATACATACATATTATTGTAACTCAAAATATTGCCATATTAGTACAAATAGCGATAGTCATAAATAAATGTTGCACGGAGTACAGGGATCAGTCCAAGAACCATTTAAAAATTACCACCTTGTCCCCACCCGAGTAGATATTAATAACAACTTCCTATCCTCTGCCCATAGGTAATGTTGTTTACTATTTTCCATAACCTGATTTATATTTATATATATACATAATGGAAATATCCCCCGTTAGCAGGTGTAAAAAATATAAATTTGGCATATGGGTGAAGGACCATTATTATTCATGTTAACTGTCCGTTCGTAGTTATCAAGGAGTACAGCATGAATAAAAAAAAGAGAAGTATTAACTAGACATGTATGTATAATATTTGAAGTCATTGTGACTACACTTAAATTAATATCAGTGACTCAGTATTAATTGAAGAAAATAACAATGATAATTCAGTTACGCTGTATTTTTTATCAATACTTTGATAAGGAATCTGAATTAATTATTGTAATTTATAGGTAGTTGTGAATATTGAAGCCAAAAGATTACAGAAATCTCTTTATGATTACGTAAGATTTTTGTAAGAATTCTGACTTAAGGACATTTATATTAAATGCACCAAGAGACCTGGTGTAAAGGTCATTCTGTGCTTTCTCAACTTCAATTGTTTTAGTACGTTGTTTTAACGGAAGTAGACTTTGCATAAAGTCGTTTATGTATTTACATCTGTCTCTGACTCTCTCTGTCAATGAGCTTCGGTGAAAATGTGAGAGATAGGGCAGTAAAATTACAACATGACATATATGTCCTTCTAATCGCAACACATGGGTGGTTTCACGGGCATTACATGATAACATGATACAGTACTGTTCATGTATATAATCGTCACGAGAATTCCAATTACATAACAGACACTTGTAGTCATTATTTCTGTCACACTTACATATATGCTATATTTATCAAGTTTAAGCAACTTATGCCATAAACATAATATTTTATTCCTATTCCGAATTTTTACTTAAACAATAACATATTCTACACATTTTTAAATATAATTACTTCAATATATTCACGCCATATTTACCAAACTTGCACAACCCATGCCATATAGAGTATATTCAGATGAATATACTTTATATATTCATAAATACATCTTTGATGCATAAAATTTACCCCAAACCGTGTTTATCAACCAGTATGTTATTGTTCAAGATAATCCCTAGTAAACAATATAGCATTATTAGAGTGATAACATTTTATAAAACATCTTTTACACGCAAATTTCAAATTAATAGCTCACCTAATAGAGTGTAGTCTCTTGAAGTAACCCTGGAGTTCATAGTAAAATCTCAAATCTATAGAGTAAAATATTCTTATTTTTTTGTACCACCAGTACAAAATACTAGTAGGTGTCTTCAATTGGTGTACCTATATTGTAGATATCAGTACCAAATGACATCTCTTGCTCATAGCCGATAACATAATTAATTGCCAAAACGGCGTAGTACAGAACACCAATATAATTTTTTTACCATTCTATTATTGTCACCGTCTGATGGTATCGTTGGCAACGAGTAATCATATGTAGCTCGTAATAATATTACTTCAGTGGGTTGGCGCATCATGTGCCGATGTCGCACGACTTACACCCGATCCAGGAGAAATCGAAAACGAAGGCTGGCAAGAACGGGCACTCAAGCGTAAGGCGCAGAAACTTGCCACTAAGCTCGCCGAGCAGATGTTTCAAGAGAGAGCTGAACAACTTGCTCAACAAGCAAAGAACATAGTAAGCTCGGGCCCTCCACCTTGCGAGTGCAAACCGCAGTCAGGTCAGTTAAAAATACTTTTCGTCTCTATGATAGAATATATTTGTAATCAATCATTTAAAATGTGTTCTCAAAGAGAGTACAATTATGAGGACTAGAAAAATGTGAATAATTTTGTCATTAGTCTAAAACAATAGGAGCAGGTCTGAAATTGGAAATGAGATTAGCACATAAATAAATGAGTACGTATGTCTCATGTCGTTATTATCATTTATCAGAGTGTTTGTAGTAGTAATATTGATATTATATAATCTATGTTGTATAATTAACTATTGTACGTAAGATAAAACATAATAAATTATTAATCACTAAATTGTTACTATTACTTGTCTAATAAGACAGTGTTAATGTACTATTTAATCACAAAGAAATGTCTGTTACAGCGGTATATTCATGTTTCGTAAAGCCTGCTGCAATAGTTGGCGACAACAGTAAGGCGGCAGGCCCCAGTACGACTGCTCCCGCGTATTGGCGCAAAACCTCCCAGGATGTCACGCAGCTTAGAATGCAAATTGAAGACCTTAAAAGGGTGGATAAATATTTGTTTTCCTATTATTCATTTCCGTTTATAAATCTTATCATATGATCTGTTTTTAAATGTCAAATGGCGTTAGACCATATATATTATCTCTTTTTACAGGAAACTATTAAGAAAGCGGATTTAAAATTAATGGAAAACAATATCGCCAAAATAGTACAGCTTGCATCTGTAAGTAAATAGTAATAAGTCTCAAATTACTATATTATGTAATTTTAGACAATAAGATACATAATATTATATTTCTAATTAAAGGTACTTGAGACATCTACCGTGGCTACAAAAATTATCGGATCTACTAATGCTGATAGCATTTCAAAATACGATATAAATTATAGTACACCTACTGCAATTAAAAAAAACCAATTGCATTTTAATGGGTTTCCTAAAAAAAGAAATAAAATTTATAAAAAACACGAACAAGCATATGCTGTTAATATGTGTTTTTGTGATACACAAAAAAAAACCTCTAAATTAAATAAGCAACGAAAACAACATTCCTTTATAGAAGATGAATTTAGATTGTCATCAAAAGATAAACCTCGTAAAGACATTGCATCACAAATATTAGGTGTTAAACAAACAAAACCCATAAATGATATAGAATCAGCAATAATGAATTTAAATAACATTAAACAACCTACTAGGCCATCATGTAGAAGTAATTGTGTATGTTTCCATAAACCACCATCAAATACTTCAATAGATAATTTGCTAGAAACATTAGCAAACTTGAATTATACCTTAACTGCTACTTCGGATCAAAATAAAACGCCGGATAGAGACGAATATAATGAAATAAATAAAACTTTCATTACCAAAGTAGCAACTCAACTGTCATCTGTTATTGGAAAATCAACAAAAAGTGACATAAATTCTGATATAAGTTATCTAAAGAATACTGTACTGAGTAAATTTAGTATTTCAAAATGTAATATAGAAGATTTGTCTAATGGTAAAGAAATTGAACAAAATTTACCTCCTATGACAGACTCAGAGTATATTGGTACAATAAATCTAGATAAAAGTAATGATATATTGTGTAATTGTACTAAAGACAATGTTAGTAATAATAAAAGTAACCTTGAAACTGAATCTGAAAATAAATTTAATTTCCCACTTAAACATTTAAATGTGAAAACTTCCAACTATAAAAAATATTTAAAAGAAAGTAAACTAGATCATGGAACACTATCCCAAAATAAAGAAAAAATTCAATCTAATTTAAAAAGTGAGAAATTAAGTATCGAGGATGCGCAAAAATTTGAAGCTAATTTAGTCACAAACGCCGAGAATGAAATTAACTATATTGTTAATCAAAAAGATTGTAACTGTAAATATAATATAAAATTTATAGGCGTTACATTATCTGGGGCGAATTCACAAAATGTCTTGTCTAATGGACATTGCTTGAATAATAGTTGTAATGATAATTATTTAAAAGAGGAGAAATTTTTTTGTGAAAAATTAGAGCAATCATTAAAAGATAAACACATGGATATAAGCATAGATCAGATGAATGAATATTTACTACCATGTAATATAAAATTTGATGAAATCAAACATTTTACAGGTGATACATTTAATAAGCAACGCGGTGACTTTTATAAAAATGTAGACAAAGGTATAGATTCTCAAAGTTTCAAAGGTACTATTGTAGATAAACATGAAATGTGTGTTTGTTGCAATAAAAATAATTTTGATGAATCTCGAGACTTAGAACTGAATACATTTCATTTGTTGAAAGAACATCTGAAAGATAGGTTAGAAGAATTTAGACAATCTGCTTGTAAATCTTCATGTATATCATCTGATGAACAAGAAAAAATATTTTCTACTATATTTCAAAGAGTAAAACAGGTAATTTCTGACAGTACAAATAATATTATATGTAAATGTGCAGAAGATGAATATTCTTCTTCTTCTTCTCAAGGAAGTTGGAATCGAGCTTATATTTTATTGCAAGAATACTTAAATACTAAAATAAAACGTGTCCAATGTTTTTGTGTACCATTACAAGCCAACGAAAAATCTGTTTTACCAAATGTATTGGACCGCATTTGTAATTTAATAGAAAATGACTTTGATCGGGTAAAAAAATTATGTAAATGTAGAAATATTGTCAATAAAAATGAAGAAAATAGATTTGAAATTCAAAATGATTTACCAGAAAGAGATATAAATAATGAATTGGATACACCTATTGGTATTGGGATCAATCAACCCAATAATACTAAAATAACGTCACCTGCAATTACTACTCAAAATATATCGGCTCAAGTGCCTAATAATTTGGGAATGGAGACAAAGTCTTGTGATATCATGGAGAGAGGACTTAAAAACATACAAACTACAGAATCCTGTGTATTACTCGCAAATAACTATTGTAATTCTTCAGACTTGTGTATTAGTTGTAATTTGAATAAAAATAAGACTAAACTATATTCTGAATTACGTACTACTAACGAAATGTTGGTCAATAATTGTGTAGAGTCTATGAAGACTAATAAAACTTTTAATATTCCAACTTATTTATTAGATTCCAAACATTTATCTAATCAAGTTTTAAATAAAAAAGACAAAAATAAGGAAATATCACCCAGTGATCTAATTACAACAATACCTTATATAGGATATACAATAGATTGTTCTTGTAACAAAACTTTAGGCTCATGTATTTGTGCAAAGTGTATGTATGCTGAAAACAACGTACATATTACAAATTTATTCAAAACAGGCAGACCAGACCCACTACTTTCTTTAAATTCATCTTACATTATGGATAGTGTAATGAATAAAAATACTAATTATATACTATGTGATAGAGTAAACGATTCTCTGAATAATATTACTGACCCCGAACCCTTAATCAATGCCAAAACACGTGAAATAGAGGTTAGCGCATACGACGATAATGAGATTCGTTTAAAATATTCTCTTAATAAAAATTTAAATTTTTCGCATCGTATGGTGAATACTTCTAGTGATTTAATTACAAAAAATAACTTGAATACTCAAGGCAAACTGTTTGAATTTGGCCATCATAAACAAAATAGTGAATTGCAATATGATACAACCAACGAAAATAATATCAAAAGTGAAATAAACAATTCCGCAAAAATGTTCAACACACATTTTACGAGTTGTGACTGTGATATGATTCCTATTTGTCATGTTAAAATGTTGGTTGAAAATATAGAAAACAAATTGATTAACTCTAACTGTACATGCGATTCCCTGAGTAGTAAAGTTTGCCCTATACATTCGTAGATATTTTGTCTAACAATAAAAATTATTTGCGTTATTGCTTAAACAAGCAAATACTAATTAAATTCCTGGCATTTAATTTAAATCATGGTTATTAAGTCATTTTTTGTTTGTTATCATTATTGTTATTCTAATACTGTTTATTTTTCCATTTTGTTATTTTGAATAAAGTTTTGGTAATCTGTAACTCGACATTTTATTTCTGTAGTCATACATGGTAAATAGTATCTGTTAAATGTTGCTTTCCAAAATATTTAATCATCAGATTGTTATATTAGTGAATATATTTGGGGCAATATATCACAAAAACAGTGTATGTACACTGTTTTTTTATATACATAATGTAACACGGACTTTATTTTTTTAATCCTGTAAGAAGTCTTACACATCGCTGTGCTGATTTGATGATGACTTACGATTTCTACTTTCACGTATATACGAGTAGTATTAAATTATTAGAATTAATTAAGCATGCAGATATAGCTTTTATTCGTTAGTACCTAAACTTACTTCTTACTTACTATATAATATCTATTAGTGGTATTTAACTGCTGGTGTTTAGAGCAGCATTTAAATGTAAATGTTTTGTTGTCAATTACTTTGTTGATGAAGAGGAAGTAGGTCTAATGCACAAAAGATAAATGACGTTTGATATAAATTATAACGCCAATTTTAATATTTTTGTGCAATATTTCATTGACAGAAACTAAGGTTGATGGAATGAAGTTGAGAAAAACAACTTTGAATATAGTATATGTAGATATTCAAGTTTTTTTGCAAAATATTTTACCTATCAAGGCTAGTACGTTCCCAATTACAGGTCCACTTTAGCTAAATTTCTCGGAATGATTGTAAAAAGACTCACAATGAATTAGATAAAAAATATGATCGATATTAGTACATATGCAGAAAGTGTTATCAACAGTGTATATGCTTAATAACAAATTTAGTCCAATTGTACTTGTAAACTACGGTGATACGGCAGCCACAGATTAGTTCTAAATCGTCATAGATATGACGTCCACTGATAAGTAAAAATTATTTATTTTTATAAGCCAAATATTAACTTGATGGGTCAGTATTTATTCGCGTCTTGTGTAGAGCGTATTAATTGATTGCTTTTCATAAATTTCAATAACTTAGTTCAAATGTGGATTCTACTGTGATAAATAATTTAAAATAATATTAACATTTTATTTGTGTGCAAAACATTTTACATTTAATATGGAAAATAATATAAAAAGTAACAGTAAATATAAAACATATAATGACGGAACTCAGAAAAAGCGAAGTAAACCCAATATCATATCACGAATATTCATATGGTGGATGTGTCCAGTGTTAATAAAAGGGAACAAGAGAGATGTTGAAGAATCCGATCTCATAGTCCCCAATAAGCAATATGACTCCGACAGACACGGTGATAGACTCGAAAGGTAATTTTGATTTTCTTTTTATTGCTTCTATGATTTTTGTATGATATTTTTTGGCTTATATATATAATTGGAATGGAAAATAAGCTGATAGCCTACTAGATGATAGTGGTAACCATCGCATGCATATTATCCTTGGTACTGTTCATATCCGTGGCGGTTATCATGTAACATCCGTGACACCACATATTCGTTGCTATTCCGGAGGACATGTTACATAATTTCACTAAGTTATATTCATGATTAAAATGAAACAAGCCGGCTGAAATAGATGAGACTTGGGTATGTATGCCATGTAGACAACTTTTTGCATTTTATATGTACACCGATGGTAACATCTTCAACAGTCGTATTTATGATATACGCATAACGACACTAGCGACGATTATCATGTGGATTGAGCCTATTTAGATATATATTTTTTGTTTTTAATAGAGAAATCTTTAAGATATTATATCCCTATCAAAGGGAGCAAACAGTATATACTGTGAAATTTTTAGTAACTAAAACATAATTTTTTTATTCTACCGCAATTTTCAGTGGGGATGGTCCAAGTAGGCTTTCTTGCATAAAGCAAACTTCTAACTCTACATAGGTGGACAATAACGTTCGTACGTGCTCTGTTTACATTTTTGTTTGTGACTTAAATCCGAGAGGGGCCGAGTGAGATTGACTTAATAATAACCCAGTGCCATTTCGACCCAATTTAACTCATATAAATGCTTAAACACGTTTTTTTGTACATACATTAATATACATAGAAAACACTCATATTATTACAAACAATCATGCTGATCAATATAAATGTTTGTATCGTGCGAGAAATCGAACCTGCGACCAACGGAAGTACATTTGTAAAGAGGTGTAACCGCTAAACCACTGAGGCTGATTCTATATGGAGTTTACGCTTACCTTGTTGCCATATTTATTACATTACTATATTATTCCATCATCATCATATTACTACACCGGTCATTCGCTACCCAGTTTATTCTATCTTGCACGAAATTTCAGATTTTGAAATCACCTATCGAGTCTTTTCCAAAAGACAGCATAGATTTTGTAACTTGTCGATAGTCTCTTACTATCAGAAAAAAGTAATCACATCGCTATGAATCTATAGAAAGTAAATATTTTAATGTCTACGAAAAAAATACCGGCTTATCCTTACTTGGATTTGACATGCAAATAATTTTTAAATGCTTTCATTTTCGGCCACAAAAAATATCGACGTACTAAGAAACTTATCTATTCGGCAGTCCGTTGAATATTTAGCATGTTAATCATTGTTTAACATGCTAAATATTCAACAGATTCACTTTTTGCGGAGCCCTAAGCGTATACGTGTATATCGACGTATACGCTTAGGGCTCCGCAAAAAGTAGCCTTCTTTTTCTTATTAATATACGTTGGAAATACATGTAATAAACATAATGTATTATTTTATCAAGTACCCAATTTTTTTTAATGATGTAACCTTATGATTGTGTTTCATTAAATAAACTATAATAATAATATTATTCAACATAGACTGTTAATATGGTATTCTGGAGAATGTCATATTGCAATTCACCATACAGAAGTGAAATTATGATTAAGTAAAATTATGAAAATTGTCATTGCTATTATTCATAATTATTCGTGCCCTATTATTATTATTATAATAAAATACATTATTTGTTTTACACTATTTTTGCAGTATGAAATAACTGATTTATTTATATTTGTATAGAGATAATTAATTTTATTCTTTACTTTTTTTGGGCCGAGTAATAGTTACCTAGTACCATCGTGTGCCATTGATCGTATATACAAATTACCATAGACATATTCGATATTAACTTTAGCAAACATTATTGCTTTATACTTCAACATACGTCATAAAGTGCTGGTCGACTTCCAATTTCAATAGACATATATTCTACTCTCCAATGTCCAGGGTTGCTTTTGGACCGCGATGCCTAGATAACCTAGGCCTTTTGATGACTTTATGTGACTAGCTACTCGCCCCTCGACTCCTCGACTAGCTACTCCGGTTGTACATGTATTATTATTATATATAAACCTTCCTCTGGAATTATTCTATCTGTTAAAAAAACCGCTTCAAAATCCGTAACGTAGTTTTGAATTTTAAAGCATACATAGGGACAGATAGCGACAGCGACTTTATTTTAAACTATTTAATAATAATGATGCTGGAATTCTTTGTTTTTTGTCATATCTCAAAGCAGACCGCTTGGCGGTAGAAAAAAGTGATCCAGAGAAACCAGACAAACAAATGACTTATTTCTGTTAATTAAAAGATCAATTTAAGGAGGGGACTTTAAATATTTATAATATTGATAGTTTCTATGAGAAAAAATTATTTAGAAAAATATCTATACTTGTGTATTATTTTAATAAGTTTATGATTTTATTGAAAGTCACATCCAAGGTTCAATTACTAAATGCAGTGGCTTGAAGAAAATAGATAATTTAAATATTGCGATAATGCTTAATTTAATTTTACATTATATCATTGAATAGACGGAACAGTTGATTCATAAGAGTTACTGTATTAATGGTGTAGAGTAACAGTAGAATAATACTTAATTACTAGTTAAATAAATAATAAGCATATTGAATATATAACATTTTGTATCTAACTTCATTTTTATAATATTTGTTTGCTCTAGTAATCAACATAAACGTTAACTTTATATAGATAAATGTGATCTGAAACGAGTTTAATTTAAAATGTTCTTGGTTAATAACACTTCCTATCATTAGACAAATAAATTACTTTTTATATTACATTAAGCAAACTTCGTGAGTTTTAAATCCTATCAAGTGATAATGCATACCGAAAACTCGCAAAATGGCATGATTATAGTATTTTTAGTGTGAACAGGTTTTTGTAATCAACATATCAACTTAATATCTGATCTTTTATATAAACGTAAATTTTGTCATGTAAATCTTAAAAATGATTGAGATAAGAAACTAGGAAAATTCGCATTTTTGCACGATTATGGTGTTATCATATGTATAGTTTTTATAACGAAATCATTTTTATGATAATCATGTTAAGTTGTACAATATCTAACTAATGTTATATTATATGTATATCATAATTTTATTTGACAACTTTGTTGCAATTTAAGAAACTGCTTCAGTTTACTATGATTTGTGTGTACTATGATTTGAAAACTTTAAAATGTGCAAACATAGTGCGGGATGTCATGCAGCTAGGTGGAGAGACGACATACTCGTGCTTAGGGTTGTGGGTAACAACTTGTAAAGAAGGGGTGAATATCATGCCCTGTAGTGCCTTAGGAGAGGCCAATGTCCAGCAATGATGTCATGATGTCCTAAATCTGAAATGTACCCTGTGAAACGTCTTAATATGAAACGTTTTACTTTGAGTTTAAATAACTTTTTACAATATACGTAGGTATTTCCTATTTAAACGATGGATCATCTGTCAATTGATTGATTGAAACATTGTAGCAACATTAACAATTTGCCGTTTGACGTCGAGACTGACACAACTGTAATATGTATATAGACTTAATAACAGTTGAAGATTAATCATTAGTGTGGATGGTCATGGAACTCTTCATGGTAGTCAATCTTTTGTGTCAAATTTTCTTCTTAATCATAAAACATCAATTGTCTATTAAACCTATTTTAAAATATTGAATTGTTATCCTTTTACCTTTCGATAAATTTTCATACTTTCAAAGAAAATGACAGAACAATGTAATTTTTAAAAAGGCCCGTATTAATTGGGCTGTATTTTCCATGGAATTACGTATCAGATACCTAATCTGATACGTAATTCCAAACTAACATTGATTTAATAATGGATTTTCCAGACTAATTTGGGCACTACTGATGTTTAATTTGCGGAATAAAATCTTAAATTATGCATAATGGTTATTAATGTTCATACCAAATATGTAGAACGCTATATCATGATGATTATTAAGTACGTATTATATTATCAAGTGAGATAACATGCGAGTATTTAATAGATAACTATATATATGTAGGTACTGATACTAAGATTAGTTCTAAATTTATCAAATAAAGTTTTTTTTATTATTTGTAGCGTCCCAATTTTATTGTTATTGTCTGACCTGTGTTTAGATAATAAAAATATGTGTTCTACGTTCCAACTAGCGGTACGTTCTGACTTCAATCGAATTGAACGATTTGAAACTGAAATGAAATTTTGAAATCCTTAGATATCTTCATATATACATACCTATATAAAAATCTCGTGAAACAATGTTTTTCTGTGTTAAACACTACTTAATTTTATGAAATTTAGCTTACTATGTGTTATGTGGTCCAACTTAAATTACATCAATATTAGACATAGGTACTGTGCCACGTAACGTATGTCCAGCTGACCTGCCCATACGTTACGATACAGTACATAAATGCAAACGGTAAAATATGGGCACATGAATGTCAACCGTACGAAAATCCTCGTACAAGTTAGTACGAGACCTGCTGAAATCGGTGAAAATATGTTGTACGAGATTACAGAACTAATATATGTTACTATAATATCGTTTTTCTTCTTACGCGGATAAACGTTTATAGATTGGCATCTCTGTATGATCACTCTATTCAGAAAAATCTATCCCTATAATCTATAATATTTTATTTATTTATTTATTCTTTTGCACAGAAAAATGTATACATGGCGGACTTAATGCCTGAGGGCATTCTCTACCAGTCAACCGTCGCGTTGATCAGAGATAATAAGGCGGTGCACTTTAATAATTAACTAAAAGAAAAAAAAAGAATAATTATTACAAATAGACACAGACAAAAAAAAAATATTCATATGTACATATGCAAACATATAAAAATATTTATTTCTATTTTTCCTTTTTGTTTTAGTTTGTTCTATTTTTGTATAGAAAATAAAAGAACCATAGCAACAATGACAACAGTTACAGTTGATAAAATGCTACTTTATCATATAATCAGGATACCTATATACACTTACGATACTACGCTTTTTATCTTTTAATATGACATTTGAGAGTAATCTAAAATTCACTAGCATATAAAATTTCACTACTCGCCGATAATTTATCTGTAGTTATTTAATTCTCTTCAGAAAATGAAGATGCCCAATTCATCTTTATTAGTTATTACGTCATATTTTCTCAAATCTTGCAGCGTGAGAAGAAGAGAGCACGATTTTTCCCGTCTGTCGTAGAAAGAAGACTAATATTTGCTGATAAATTTTCCAATGATTTGGTGATGGTTTCATACCATTTTTATCAGGATACCAAAAAATCTGATAATTATTATTAATAAATGTGCGTATCTAATAAGTATATTATTAATACTGCTTATAAGATATGAAAGTAATGATGTAAATCATTGATTTTACCGATTATTATTACATACAGCGTAATGTAGATATTAATGTTACATCGATCGTAGATATAGACTAAAGTGATTCGACTATATTTAAACATACGACACTAAAATCAGTTGTAGTATCGTAGCAGTGGTGAAGAGCGCTCTTGATTGTACCGTGTGTAACGAAATCAGGTCCGTCCATTTTACGCAGCGTGCCCTCCAAGTATTTTAATTGAAATAGGAGCCTTATAGGAGATTGTAAAAGCTTTCTCGGGTGGTTGCGGATATAACCAATAAGAATATACTACAATTGAATATGATTCATATTTGACATATATCGTTGGTTTAGCTTATATATCATTATATTAATATGTGAAGTATAAACTTTGTACCCCATTTTTACGAAAATTGCGAGGACGAATGTCATGAAATTTTGCACACTTATAGAAAAGAAAGTATGCTATTGTATTTTTTAAATTATCAAGCCTAAAAATTACATTAGTCAATAAGAATATTGCATACACTGCCACGTGTTTGGTAAATATGCATAGAAGTATAGTCTATGACAATATAACCTTAATAACATGTAATTTAAAATAATTACGGTTAAAATTAGATCATTGGCCCTCCACTCGTAGAAATGAAGGCGTAATAAATGTAATAATTACTTACTGTATTACTTATTTGTCTTTCAGATATTGGTTAGAAGAATTAAAAAGAGCAAAAAGAGAAAATAGAGAGCCGTCGCTATGGAAGGCTTTACAAAGAGCGTACTGGCTGGCATACATGCCAGGAGCGATTTTTGTTGGATTATTGGGCGTTTCAAGGTATGGTTACTAAGTCAATATATAACGTAGTTCTTGAATGTTGTAATATAATAATGCATGTAAATATAGCAATATAAGCTATTTTTACTAATTAGTACAGAAAAATGTAGAAAAGTATATATATATATATATAAACACCTCTTTGGGCACTTTGTTGATCACGCCACAACCTAAACACTTGCTGATTCCACCTTTTGCACTGAATAACTTGACTCCTATCGCGTATATCTAAGGCGGTATGGCAACGTCGCATTCTATTTTGCGATGCGGCCATATATATTCGTCGATAGTACGATATACTCGACACTTTTTTTACTAATAATTCGTGACTGAATGGCTCCGAACGGCTAAATTTTTGGTATACACAAAGACTTTTTGGCTCTGAATATATTTCAAAAATCAATTAATTATGTTGATCACTTTATATACTCGTCCTTACTGCGATACTTATTTTCATCCGAATATATATAGATACCGTAACGGTCTATCAATTATGAATTTATTAATTTACTAATGTAGATATTTTATATTCGCAATGCTCCATACATGCAAGCTCCAGCAACGGTGGAGGCAGGGTCCCCCCTGCACGTACACCGCACCCCGCGCACACAAACAAATTAGATATTTTTTGAATACACAAAGACTTTTTGGCTCTGTATATATATTTCAAAAATCAATTAATTGTGTTGATCACTTTATATACTGGTCCTTACTGCGATACTTATTTTAATCCGAATATATATAGATACCGTAACGGTCTATCAATTATGAATTTACTAATCTAGATATTTTATATTCGCAATGCTCCATACATGCAAGCTCCAGCAACGGTGGAGGCAGGGGGAGCACCGTACACCTCACCCCGCGCACACAAACAAATTAGAATAAATTAAATTCATAAGATTATTTATATATTTCGACTGCCTCGGTGGTCACACCGCTTTACATCCGATGGTCGCGGGTTCGATTTCTCGCACGGTGCAAACAATTGTACTCATTGGTCATCGATTGTTTTCATCGGTCTGGGTGTTTTCTATGTATATTATATATGTATTTACAAAATAAAAATATCTATTTATATCAGTTCAGTATCAGTCTGTGTTAATTGTCCAGGGCTATTTATTATATTTTTATAAACGGTTATCTTTTTCCATCGCACCGCTCGCTATCGACAGTGAATTCATAGAAATGTCACTCTAAAAACAAAAATAGTTTTGTGTTTTGTATTTCAAATACTAAATGCAAAATAGGTATTTTCAAAATAAAGTACCTTTTGAATTTTTGTCCAAACCTCAGATATTTTATTTATTTTAGGTATATCAATCATTACATAGTAATATAAAAACAAAGTCGCTGTCGCATCTAACAGTACATAAACAAAGAAAGAAACATTTGGCTCTGATACCGTAACGGCCTATCAATTATGAATTTATTATACCTAATCTAGATATTTTATATTCGCAATGCTACGTACATTGTAATATCCGCCTCCATTCATTGTAACGGTGGAGGGACTAAATAGTTGAATAAAACTGAATAAGCAGTTGCTCCACTCTATAGGTACTGCGTCGTCGTCGTATGCTGTTCATTTTTTCACTCGTTTTGGCGCCAAGAGAGGGTCACATAGTAGTGGTCAAGTTAAGAACTTATAATTTAATTTTGATAACAATAGATACAAGTAAAAAGTAGGTATTATATTAATGTACGTAAGTACTGTACTTAAAAATATTTATTCTTTATTGTACATTTGAAAAACTTAACACTTAAGGACTTGTGTGACATACACGTACATACTGCCATTTTCTCTTAAAGACATCCAGAGAAGCACTATTTATCAAATACGCGGGGTGCACCGACCTTTGACCTTATAACACCTGATTCGCGCGTAACGAATTACATTGCTACTTTTTTGGTATTTTATAGTGGATATTTCACTATAAAATATTATTATTTCTTTAGATTATGACATAATAACATAGTTTACATGATTTTAAGGGAAACATACGATAAAAAAAATTCCCGTAAAATGTAAAAGATAAAAAATGGTTATTGTTGGTTATCCTTAAGAGATAGACATATACCATCACGGACTTTTTTGTTGACCTTATTTTGATACATCTCAAAGCACTAGACAATACGCATTTTCATTAAACAGTATTGTATTTTTTTTATTTCTTTAACTTTAATGCACAAAAAAATTTGTACATGTGGCGGACTTAATATTTTGCCGCGTTATTTACCAGGCAACCATGAGTGGTGCAGCGAAAGATTATTGGCGGTGCACTAATATAAATAAGAAATGTCAAAAAAAGATTTATAAAGATAATAAAGATAAGCAAAATATACATTTCTATAAAAAAATAACAATATACATACATAAATATATATGTAAATATAACCCATAAATGTATAAATAAATACATAATGATCCGATAATCAAATTCTAAGTACAGTCTCAAATTGAAAGTAAGAAAAACAGAAAATATAGAGAGAACTATATGAATATAACAGAAAGATGTGAAAAAAGGAGAAGGACAGTAAATAAGTTACAAATTTAAATAATGTTCCCGCAATTTCTGTTTAAATGAATTTATTACATTATTATATATATTAGGCATACGACTAGCCTTATGACTGTTACTTTTTTTTTAATCTATACATCTATACATGTAAATAAAATTGGAGTGTCTGTTTGTAATATTGAAATAACCGTTTTTACTACTTGCATATGAATATAAATACGGTACATACACCAAAATAACATATTTTACAAGTTTTGTCTGTCTGTCTGTTTGTTCCGGCTAATCTCTGAAACAGCTGGACCGATTTTGACGGGACTTTTTTTGGCAAGTAGCTGATGTAATAAGGAGTAACTTACGCTACTGTTATTTTAGAAAAATAAAATAAAATTTCACGCGGACGAAGTCGCTGGGGCCAGCTAGTCTATAGATATACCGAGATTTAATATTTAAGTTGCTATTATGTTGACAAAATTTTACTGTAATGTTACTATTACGTTATCCTACACAATTTGTATTATTTTGGATGAATAAATAAATAATTTTTGTCTGTCTGTCTGTCGGTCTGTTTGTGTCGGCTAATCTCTGAAATGGCTGGACCGATTTTGACGGTACTTTTTTTGGCAGGTAGCTGATTTATAAGGAGTAACTTAGGCTACTTTTATTTTAGAAAAATAAAGTTAAATTCCACGCGGACGAAGTCGCGGGAACAGCTTGTTTTTAATAAAAACGGTTTATTTGATAGAAAAAACATCTTTTTTGTGGTACTTGAGAATGTTGAAGCCTGTTGTTTGTAATATTGAAATAACCGTTTTTTACTACTTGCATATGAATATAAATACGGTACATACACCAAAATAACATATTTTACAATTTTTGTCCGTCTGTCTGTTTGTTCCGGCTAATCTCTGAAATGGCTGGACTGATTTTGACGGGACTTTTTTTGGCAGGTATCTGATGTAATAAGGAGTAACTTAGGCTACTTTTATTTTAGAAAAATAAAGTTAAAAACCACGTGGACGAAGTCGCCGGAACAGCTAGTGTATAATATATTAGAGATACCTACGTGTTTTTTTATTGATGACTAGCTGTACACGCGATTTCGTCCGTGTTGAATTTAACTTTATTTTTCTAAAACATAAGAAGTTAAATTCCACACGGACGAAATCCCGTGTACAGCTAGTTGTCGGTAGTCTAGCGATTTAGCTAGCACACTGCTTTGATTCCTGCTTGGTGGTCGAGGGTTCGATTCCTCGCACGCTGCAAACATTTGTATTCATGAGTATGATTGTTTGTAACGGTCTGGGTGTTTTCTATGTATAGATAATATATATGTATTTACGAAAAAAAATCTTTGTATTTATATCAGTACCCATAACATAATCTTCAGCTAGCTTAACTTGGGTCTAGATGAAGCTGTGTGAATTGTCCTGAGATTACTATTATTACTATAATAAATCTTTTCAAATCAGCCGATGTTTATTTTTGCCATAATACGTGCTGTTACCATGTGATAATATTACGTACGTACTTATTAAACTATTAACTTATTATTAAATTGTTTGTAACGGTCTGGGTGTTTTCTATGTATAGATAATATATATGTATTTACGAAAAAAATCTTTGTATTTATATCAGTTGTCTAGTACCCATAACATAATCTTCAGCTAGCTTAACTTGGGTCTAGATGAAGCTGTGTGAATTGTCCTGAGATTACTATTATTATTAATTGGTACACAGGTAAACTACTAACTAGACCATATTGGTGTTGTTTGTTATGGTGAAAAAACTAGTATATATATAAGTTACACGTACAATTTCAAAGACTTATTTCTTGAAAACTACTGGCTATTCTGAAATAAAACTTTAGGGTTTGTATATGTAATGTTTGCATATAAAATATGATTAAAGGTTACCAGTGTATTTACACTTTTACTGAACAAACAGAGTTGTTTAATACTGAAAATATTGTGTGGAAGGCATCAATTACTTTCAGTGCATGTATAGCTTTTCTCTTTTCCTAATTATTATTATTATTAAGTTTAAAGTGGTTGAATTTTACGTAAGGAGTATTTATACATTATTTCTAATTTACCATTTATTTTAAGTTTTTTAAACTCTATTCATCGAGACCTATCTAATGAGTCCAAACACGATATTTCTGCTGTAAGTTTTCGAAGAGTATGTTCATCATCTGATAATACTGGTGCCAGCATGAAGTCAAGGTTAACAGATAACTAATTACTTTTATTTCGTCAAAATCTTTAGATTACGTATAATAAATTCATAATATCGCTACCTCTTCAAATCAAAACAAGTATTAGGTACTTCATGTACTAGTATATAAATTCATCAACACACAAGTAAATGATTTTTAAATATATTCAGAGCCAAAAAATCTTTGTGCATTTAAAAAATTTTACCGATACGGATTCACTATTGCAGTAAATTGTTGAAAAAATATATATCGAGTATAGGTAT